GTCACACCCTGACTTTCAACCCTTTTATTATTCTTTTTCTTTTTTTTTTCACTCTCTCCTTTTAATGCGTAAGCACGGACTTCAAATAAACGCCGGAGATATGAAACGCTTAAGTGCGTATTACCGGGAGCGAAACGCGGGCACAAGGATGAAAGATTTTATCACGGAATCGCGGCGAAACATTTTCCCCTCGTGCTGAAAGAATTATTTTTCTCTTCTGATTTTTCTTCTCCCAAAATGGAGAGAAAATAAGGCCGGCAGTTTCAGGGCCCGTAAATTAAATGTCCCAGTTATCATCGCACCTTGTTATTCGGGGAATTCTTATCACTTATCGAAACGATAGCACGCGCCCGTAGGAATACGCCAATCGGATGTATTCCACATCGATCGCGCGATAACGGGTGGTAATAATCGAACCCGATTTTATGTTTGCACCCGACAAACAGTGTCCCCCGCAGACAGAGCCGGTATTCGCGGAAACTCGGCTGCGTCTCGCGACAAGTGCACAACCCGGCGCGCTGCCTACACTTTGCGTCGTTTAATTCAATGAACCCGATGGAATAGCCGCATCCTCTCCGGAGAAGTGCATCAAGTATAATGCAACTAGTATGTACAGAGTGTTTCGGCGTCGCCGACTCGAGGTCGTGTCACGGTGTCACACGGAATTTCGCGCCTCGGTGGCTCTCGCGATTTCCCGCGTCACCCGAGCGGCTCCGCCAAGATCGCCCTTTTGACAATCGCAAAGAGGAAAGAAAAAAAAAATAAAAATAAAAATAAAAGAAAACAATGTCAATCGCGGCCAGGAAATATTCCTCTTCGCTATCGAGCGATCAAAGGTCTCGCGTTGAATTGTACGAATTAAAAGGAAATGCAATTAGTACCTAACCCATGAGTATCCGCGCTCGGTCTGTCCGTACTTAACGGAAGATGTATCCTCGGTTGCCAGGGGTATGATTTAATGTAATGAGAGGATGGTCGTGCCCTGTCACCACGTCGCCGCTCGAGGGAATATTTGCCGTGTCTAATAACCGTGGTTTCAATCGCCGGCGGTTAATCACCGTCACGTGGCGGGCGTCGCGACCGACGCGTCTAGACGTTGATAAGTGAATCGCTTTAACCCCCTAGATCGTAACGATACTTAATAAACGAACACTGGTTGTTGGAAAATAGTGCGTGTCCCTAACCCTTGCCCAAAGAGACTTAGGAGAGTCCTGCATTCCGTGGTAATAGCGGATGCAATTTCTGCAGTCTGGCCGACGTCTTGAGTGAAAGTGCGACGCCGCTCGGTAACCATGGGCATGAGAACTCAGCCCTCGGGTGCATAACGTGACATTGTTCGCCGTATCGGGTTATCGGTGCATGCAAAACTGTCCGTTAAAGTTTCGAGACGGGATCTCGTTTATGGTGACGTACCGTGTGCACGGTACCAATCGAAACGTGACCGATGATCGCGAGGCGGATGCACGCGTGCAGGAGCGGTGCATCGCGGTTAAAGGGACGCAAATACTGGACGAGAAGGACGTACGATAATGGCGGCCTGGCTAAGTGCACGTAACCGGCACGCAAAGATGTCCATCTCTTTATATTCCGATTCGCATATGGGCGTTCACAGTTAGGCCTTAAGAAGGCCGACAATCGTTAATGCACCCGGAGCGTTTGCTTGGTTCCCCCACGATGACATATAAATTATATGAATTTTAATAACGTATTTCAATGCTTGAAACTATTACATCGGATCGCACGTGGGTGCGGTCCCCCAAAGCGAATGGACTTGAAGCTATTAAAATTCGTATTCATACATACTCGGGATTTTTTTACTCCACCTTTGAAAGAAAATTGGCTTTCCGATTGAGACGAATTGCCCCCTGGATTTAAATGAGAATTTTAATTACCAAAAAAAAAAATGGGAAAAAATCCAGTGGTGTGGTTTTAGGGGGGAATGAGGGTAATAGGCGAAAAGTTGGCTCTCGGCTCCAGATTTGACGGTTTTGACGGTTCGGGTGGCGTTTCACTGTGTGCGGTATCCCGACGTTTCGCTTCCTTCCGATTACTGCCTTCCTCCGTGGAAAATCAAATATCGATTTCCTGTACGTATTACCCGGACGTCGCGTCGCGAAACGGCCCGCTGACGTGTTATCCTGGTTTGCGGAATAATTTACGTAAGTCTACCCACAGGTGACTGTTCATCTAGCGTAATCCGTATCATGGGAAGGTTTTCACCTCTTGGCAAAGGCTCGTCAAGAAGAAAGTGCATCGAGATCCCGCCACCTCGTGGCTCGTTAATCATCGCATACGTGCTCGTGAAATTCAATTATTCTTCCGCAGCCTCGACGGAGAGACGTCGAGGCAGCGTTTACACCGACGATAAAGGGGCTCAAATTTAGACGGTCAATAGGGACGCATAGGCAAATACACTTGAATGAATTACCGAGAACGACGTCGGTGCGCATAATACATGGCCGGTGCACTTTTTCGCCGGTAATTGCGCAGTCGAGGTATCGTAAGAGGGGGCCATCGGCAAACGGAGATTCCTCGGATGATGTGCGTCATTCGTCATATCCGTAAACCTCTGTGGCCCCTCGAAGAGGGTGCGGAGGGGCCGATCGTAACGGCGAGCCAGTTTCCAGAGGTCCGCGCTGAAAATCCCCAAGGTTTAACGAGACCGTTTAAACGCCTGCCAGATGCCGCGGCGCTTGTATATTATTGTAATTACACGCGCACGGCCTAGATGGGGAATAATGTGCGCGGGTAACGCGCCTAGCATTAAATACTTTGCGAGCGTTATAACGGCGCGCGCGCGTCAAGGGACGCCCGGCCGACTTCCTATTGGAACGCATCGCCGGGAAGGATGCACCAAGATGCACCTCGGTAAATCGAAGGAAGCCACGGGCTTAACGTCCTAACGGTGCAACGGCTGCGATGCCGGGGACTAATAAAATTCCAGTCGATTCTCGACCCTGCACTTGCTCGTCGCTTCGTATCGATATTATACCATAAGAGCCATTAAGGGGACGCGAAAGTGGCATCCGAGGAGTTTATGGGACTTTTTCCGAACTGGGTGTACCGAATCGCTTAGAACTTAACAGCGTGATCACGAAAGCTCTATGGAGGTTCCCGACCCCCGTGAAACTTCATTATCTATAACATTTTTTTTTTTATTGAAATTTCGTGGGTGCGCGACCTTCCTCAAGGCCTTTGTATTCGCGGTTTGATACGATTCGCTGCACTCGGTGCGGAGAAAAGTTTCAGGAACGATTAACCCCCTGACTACAAATTTCACGTCACCTTACGAGTCGTCGATTTGACGAATCCTGAACAGAAGTCCGGTGTTCTACCGGGGTCCCCTTCCTCGCTTCGAGCCGTGATACCGCACTCGACGGATGTGCTCGATAATGGCTCTCGCAAGGGGTAAAGACTCTCGATCGTGTCTATCGACTCGTGGTAGGTAGTCGAGGTTCCAGTCGATACGTAAGAGCGTATCAGCCATTAAAGAGCGAATGATCTTGTGCCTCGTTTGTTTCGCCGCGATGGTCGTCCCCGCGTCTTGTCCCTCCTGGATACCCTCGATGCACTCCACCTTATTCCGGAGACGGGGCTCCACCTCGCCGGTCACACGGGGAGAGGAACGTGGAACCTCATCGTACGAATTCCAAGCCGCCCACGAGCGGAGAACCGGACGAAAGCCCAAGTCGCGTTTCAAGGAGCAAGGTCGATGACCCCTCGGAAGGCCTCTTCGGGCACCCCGCTGATCGCGTTCCTTATTATCATTCCACGCGAATTTACGGGCATGGCCGCATAAAAGTGGTGGAATACCCCTTTCCTTCCCCTTATCCAGCTACGAGATTTATTGCCGCGGGTCCTGCCAGTAGAGAATACGGAGATACGCGTCAAGGACCTCGATATTCCTACGTATGACCGAATTACGAGGACTCGAGCCTTCTAGATTTTTGCGTCGATGGTTTTCCAGTCCTCCGATGGAAAAAAAAAATACCGGGCATGTCCAGTGCGAGGGCCTCGTCATGGTGAAAAAATTCTCAGCTTACCTCTCGCCAAGGGACGTAGTTAATTAATTTTTTCATGATTTAAGTCGCGACCTCTTCCCGCCCGGTCCGCCCCAGGAATGGCGGTGAGTTATCGCAAGTGACTATCTAAATACCCTGGGCGATTACCAGCACGTTGCAGGGCGTATGACGATGTTTCTGGATTTATATTAGTTATTGGATTGGCTTTCTGCAAGCCCCAATTGCTCATGCGAGAGTACTTCCGCACTTCCTAAAACGTCCCTCGAGGACGCGTGCCTTTTTACGCGTATAAGCTGCAATGAGGGCGTCGCATTAATGAGATATCTCTACCTCATAACTGCATCGTTAGGATGGGTTGGATTTTTTATTTATATACTTATGTTATATCGGGAATGATTTTATGGAGAGGAGGCGACGTAACGTTTACTGGGCCGGCTTAAACGGCTTACGCGGTCAATGGAAAGGTACGCGCGACTATCAGCGATAAAACGGCTCGCCGCCTTACTTTACCGGGATCTACTAGGCTAGATTATGTGCGAGGCTCGAGGCTCTTCTTCCGAGTTTCCCGACTCGTTCCCAGGCTCGCGTCCACGAACCGTTGCCACTCGATTGCCAGCTCCTCGGAAACTCGGGATTTATACGCACGATGGCTTTTCATCGCAGCAGAGCCGGATGGGTGAGTCGGTGGGCGTCCTTTCCATATGATTTTCAAATTCACGTATTTGGCAAAAATGCCGGGTAATGACTGTAAAAATATTCACTATCGCGCAACCCTCAAAGCGAGACTCGGTGGGGTGGAATTTCCTGCTGGATGTTAAAGAATAATGTTACGACGAATTTATGGATCTGCGAATGGCAGGGGAAAATTTGAGAAATTTCTCCCCTTGGTCGAGGGACTTATTTGTAGACGTGATAATTAAAAGTCGTGAGAACCGCCAAGGACCGTGATTCTGATTTTCTTCTTCCTGGTTTTTGCAGATTAATAACAAGTACAGCGAAGAACTCGCCCAGGAGTGCTTGGAGTGGATCAAAACGATCACGGGGGAAAATATCAGCACCAATGGAGATATGGATAATTTCTATGAGATCCTGAAGGATGGTGTCCTTCTCTGCAGGTACTTTCTTCGAGATTCTAAAAATTATCTCCGTCCCGGGGTGAATTTCATTTTTCACGCTATGATAATATGCCTAGGCTGGTGAACGACATCAAGGAAGGATCGGTCAAGAAGATCAACAAGACCACCCTGGCGTTCAAGTGCATGGAGAATATTAACGCTTTCTTGGAGGCTGCCAAAGGTCTGGGAGTCCCAGCTCAAGAAACTTTCCAGACGGTCGATCTTTGGGAACGGCAAAATCTGAACTCGGTCGTCATTTGTTTGCAATCCCTCGGTAGAAAGGTACGATTGCCGATTTACTTACGAAGTTGTGTAAGGCTAATTTTTGAAATCGTTGCCACCGTTCGGTATCGATAAGGCGCGGTAAATAAGATACCGGCAATCCGCTTGGAAATATGTTGACTGATACGAGTTTATATTGTTTACAGGCGGGCAATTACGGCAAACCGAGTATCGGACCGAAAGAGGCCGACAAGAATGTCCGCAACTTCACGGAAGAACAATTGAGAGCGGGGCAGGGGGTAATCAGCCTACAGTACGGTAGTAACAAAGGTGCTAATCAAAGTGGTATCAATTTTGGAAACACTCGACATATGTAAAACGTCTTCGCTCCTTTCAAATTCTTCCGCCTTACGTATTTTCTGAATTACGTATATTAAGGAGACGAGTGTACGTACGCACACGTGCGTCTCCAGTTTATCGCATAATTTCTTTACGCATCTTGTACCATGTTCTACAACTATGGTAGTTATTTTAAGCGATAAGCATCAAGATAAGCCAGGGTCCACGTACTTGTAATCAAACGAAGTATATTACAAATTCGGTAGTTTTCGAGCTACCTCTCGTTAGATGTTATTCTCGATTTATCTACTATGCATTGCCGTATTTATGGAGACGAAAGTATTTTCATATTGCACAGTGACGCGGACGAGTAATTAATTAAATTAAATTGATCCTTTATTTTTCCACCGCCTGATTTTTACCTTTCGATTAAGCTCGTATTTACGAGACTTTACTATTGGTTAGTAAATGGTGTATCAAAAGAATAGGTTCTAAATGGAGGAGATAATGACAATTAATTATTACGGAGAGTAGTACTTTGCTCCGAATGAAAAAACGATACGTACTTTTAGTTACCGCAAATGATTCTACGGAAGTTTCGGTTAAATTCTTACGACGTCAAATTAAAGACATTTTACACAATCGTAACTGAATCGGACAGTATGGTAGAATGTTGAAAAGAGTAGGATAGATTATATAAATATATATTATATATAAATAGCTAGATATTCTGTTACTGTTACAGTAGCTCTTATGTGTTACAGTGTAACGAAAATATTTTACAAGACGATGTTGTATGTGAGATAATAATTATTATATATCGTAATAAATGATTATAGAGAGCGATTGTATTAAGTATTTTGTACAAAAATTTTGTGTGGTTATACAAACATTTCGTAATGTATTAAAATACACGAATTAATAAACAACACATCAATAATGTACCCGGTGGAAACTGCATGTCCTATCAATTCAGTTGTAATAATGTGAAGCGCAAAAACTATTTGACACGAAGTAAGAAAATTATACAGAATGAAAATAAATATTAGCTGCTTTCCATTACGACTGGGAAAACTATATTTAATTTTAATGGAGAGGTGAGTGAATGCTTTTAAAGAATTATTCCCATAATTCATATATTTTTATTTTTGCAAACACGTAAATACTTGCTACTTTATAATATGTACAGAGTAATGTATATTTAGGTTTTCCTTTAGAACGGGTAATAATCAAGTCCAGAGTTATATTTGAATTTATTCTTATTTCTCGCTTCTCGTCTCTTTGTTTGTTCCATTACCTTTTGTACATCAGCTCTGCAATTAAAATCGTAATGCCAATATCACTCTTACCTCGATACATTCAATACATCGGTATATTTTAATAATGTTAATAGTAAATATTTATACAATTTCTAACCTGTAAGTCGGTGGCTTCATATCCTCACTTATTGTGCATGGTGTAGAAACGTCTACCTCATTTTGTTTATATATCCTATTTCTAATTACATCAATGTCACGAGTGCAATGGTCCTTTATGTCTTCTAGAGATTTCGGTGGGGCATCGAAGTAGATTATGAAATAACTGAAACGATACCACACAGAATTATAATTCTCCCCGCTTTCGTGAAATGTGAATAACAAAAGATTAACTTATATGAATTTCTAATATTACATTAAAGCATTTTAATCATAAGGGCACATTTGTGATGAATATTTTAAGTTTGAATATTTTACTCACTTAGCTTCGCGATGCACTCGTTGATGAGCACTGATTTTATATGGCATTTCCTTTTTTCCAAGATTTTCGATTTTTCTAATGAAACCTCCTGTACCAAATATTGCCGTAGCCGTTCTTTTTAGTGTACTTGCAATTTCCTTCTGTAATGTTATTCATCATAGAATAAACTATCAAGTAGTGAACTTTAAAACATAACCTAAGTCATCAAGAATTTTGTCATACAAACCTTAGACATAATGCGAAGTAACAATGGTAACTCGTACGTCGGCATAATTGAATATATTCAACAATCAACTTTACAATGCTAATTGAATTTTAAATATTGTTATATCTAAAACAACTTTTAATCAGAGCAGACACTAGCAATATTTGGGTCCATTTACAAATACACTTAGAAGTCCGCATTCGGTCTGGTGGTATTTTATTTAAGTACACCGAGGTGCACAAGATGGCAGTACTGAATCATGACCGCAGATACCAACTTGTGAACAATCTCTTAGCGGGTCTGTATTCCTTGACTGTAGCCGCTCTTTAGATGAGGCTCATTAAATTTTGACTGATTGCGCATACAAGTTGTATTGTTAGGATTCGGTTGACGGCGCAACGTAAACATTTCCGGTGCGGGATGTTATACGTTTGAAATAACAAACGACATTCTCCAAGTAATGGGTATCGACGGTATGAGGGTTGGTGGAAGCCGATGCCCTCCCCTTCTCGTTGGAGGACTTATTTTAGCATGTTTAATGCTTATTTGTAATTGGTGGACCCTGTCTTCCGAAAATCTCGAATTATTACGCCAAATCGATGAGCTGAGTGAACAACTGAAAATCAGGTAACTGACTGCAGTAATACTTGTCAATGAAATTCGGACTGTCAAACTCTCCGTCCAATGTAGTCATTTTGCTTTTAACAGCTGTTCTCTTATTAACATGGTTGGTATAACAAAATTTTCGTCTTTTTTTTTGTAATTTTAATTGTATAATAATAATAATTGTAATTTGTTGTCATTTTTTAACGATATGTTATAATTTGTAGTGCGGAAGAGAGGGATCAATGTGTTACATTACGTGGAAACTTGGAGGACCGATTTAAACGAGCTAAAGATGAGATAGCTTCCTTACACGTTCATCTAGAACAACAAAGCAAATTGAAAAAGCGCACTGATGAGTTAGAAGATTCTATCACAGTATGCAAGAGTGAACTCGATTCGTTAAACAAACTAGATGCAACAAAGACGGCAACATTGGAAACTTTAAGATTGGAAAAGGATACCATATCGACGCAATTAGGGGCCAAAAAGGAAGAGAATAAGAAATTACAAGAGGAATTGGACAGGGTACGAAGGATCCAACTTTAAGAAATCAGACAAGTTTATAAAATAGCATTGTGACATGGGTGCAGAAGTTACATACTGGAGTAGTCCTGGTTACAGGAAATAATTTACATGTTTACAATGAATTCTTCAATAACACTTTATCTTCAGATTCAGGATGAACTGAAGAAACTCAAATCAACATATAGTTCACCCTCTGAAAAGGAGCATCGGATGTTACCGCAATGTAAGCTATTTCATCTAATTTTTTAATTTTGTTTGCTTATTATTTTTTTTTACTGTTGCATGCTTTAACTGTTTTGTTTCCTGTGTAAAAAGTATTGCAAGCAGACAATTGAATGCCTGAAACTAATATTTTGAGATTTAGATTCATGCTTCTTACATTATGAATTTTTGAAACCAAATAATTTTTATTAGAAACATCAAATGCAATAAATAATAATGGTATTTAGAGAGGCAAGTAGTTCTCTCACTATTTATATTAGCAGAATTTTCAGTATTAAGCCATTATATACGTACATTTGAAGAAAATCATTAAAATTATAAGAATGCATTTTGGGGATTTATTGATTTAGCAATAAAAACAATCGTAAACAAGCCTCAGTTGGGTCCTGTCGCAGAGGCAGCGGTAAAAATATCCAGCTCCGGCGAAAGGGGTTTGAAGTTTCATGGAATTCCAATACTACCGCGAGATCCACCTGGTGCAGTGCGTCAAGCTCCTCGTCTGTCAGTAACCATGATGAGAGATCGAAATGCTCACAGGAAAGAATTGTTCGATTAAAATTCAAATGTCTTCAAGATATTTCACAGTACATATTGTGGACATCCTGTACAATACATGTGTACGTCCAAGTATTAGGTGCAATGAGTTTTATCCAATCAATTGTATGGTGTATCTATTTCCAAATAAGTAATATACTTTCATTTTTACGCAATTGCTATGTAAAAATAGAAATCGTGTAGTGTTATATTTTGACGTATTATTTGAGATCGGTTGAATAGTGTAATATAAACGTTAAAATAATAAGAGAGATTGTACAAAGCCATAAATAATGTTTTTGCTGGATATTATACTGTGAGTTGTAAATTCCATTTCATGAATATTAGATTTTTTTTAATTTTTAGGATTGATTTTAGGACTAGACAATACGTTTTTCAGTGTGTATACTAATCTGATGAACTTTTGAAATGCCATTTGGACCCATGACAGATTTTCCTAGAAGTAATTGTTTTAGTGAATATCTTTGCACATAATGATTTTCAGTTCAAACGAGTACAAGAGCTGAAACCAGAACCAATGACAGCCAGGACATTCAAGACGAGGGAGAGTTGGATGAATTAAAAATTAGACCAGATCTTGCAGACGGTAAATTCTTACATTGACATTTTCTTATTTTCGCTATACAATGTATATACATAAATATTAATAAATTGAGAGAGGGTACTATATCGTAAATGACTTCTATTGCAGTGAACACCATTTATTCGAATGATTTAATTAAATGTAAAGTTTGGTAGCTTTGTCTAATGTTCTAATTAAGTTCATATTTTTATACATTTCTTATCTTAATTTGTTGTAGAGATGAACCGCTTAGATGATGCCAGTAACGCTGATGATAATTTACGTTTCATGGATAATAAGAAAGGTCAGCAAACAAAATCTATGAATTACACAATGGAAATAGATCGTATTAATTAAAACAAGGTAATAGTTCAGCTACTATATCGTCGAAGATGATCTATGAATGTTATGATCTTTTATATGGTTTATAAAATATAAGTTACCTTGGCAAGGTGAAACATTTAAGTGAACTTGTCAAATGCAGTTATTTATAGAAATCTATAAATAACACTTCTTAAATCACCTCCGTGATCTTAAGATTAATGTGCTTGCCATTTATTGTCAGTGATATCAATATTTTATTGCATTTAAATATACGTATATTTTTTTAATAGGAAAAAATCCTAGTATATTAAAGTTCCAAAAACAAGGCTAATCTGACATTTTATGAAATATGTGATAAGCTAGGTCCTTTCTTTATACGTATACATGTATATACATTAGTTTTACATTGTACACGGATTTTAAATTTTATGAATTGCCATGGCGAGCAACAATAAAAAGTAATCTACTAAGAGCAGAAAGAAGCAATGGTAATTTAATTTATGCAATGGTCCCCAATTCTACCAGAAATATTAGAACCAATTTCTCTATATATAGAAATAATAGGAGAAATAAACTAAAGAGATGGACTTGACTCACATTTAATATATTTCAGCAATTGTTTAGTAATACATCATCCTGGAAAAGCATGTACCTACTATACGTCTATTTTTCTTTTATCATGACCTTTGTTACAGATAATTTTATTTATACGATGTGTTTATCTAGGTTTCCATGCAAACTGAAATTATAAATTACTTAAAAATATATTGATTAACCTTTCATTTGTACAAAATGCTTTCCGTACAATTAATACGCTTTTGTAATTTGTGACTATATGAATTTATAATTGTTAAGCCTAATGTTTCCATACGACATGTACATACATACTACAGTTAAGTATTAAAATGGTTATATCTAGTCGGTAATCGGATCTACCGAGGAAACTACAAAATTATATTATACCATTATTGTGCAAAAATCGATGTGTACGATTCAACTGCAGAAACAGTATTAACGATCGTATAAAACATAATTATGATTGCAAATGATATTCTCGATACAAATGGTGGTAAAACATAAATATCGTGTTACATAATTAAACAAATTTTTCTGATTACCTTTTACAATTGTAGGGTGAAGTTAGCGTAATCTTTGTACAAAAGAGGCACCAAATTAAGCTGTACTATTTTTGTTCTTCTGTAGTACTGTATATGCACGTTATTCAGTTGACCCTTACAAACTATGTATACGTTTACTTCAGTAATTCGACATCTGTCAAGTTGAACCCTTATATCGTATAAATACTGTAGCATTGATCTCTTAAAATTTGTGTGATGCAGTGCAGTCAAATCATATTCCTGAGTATTTATAAAATCTGATCCCTGCTACTGTTAATAAATAATATAATGCGATATGCAATTTCGCCTGCAAAGTCATGTATCTACTGTTACATTAATTATATCACTACAATGTGATATTTTAAATGAAGCAGCTGTTATATTTTATTGCATATTTTTTCTTGTCTAACGAATGCTTCTACTGTCACCCCTAGTAACATTTGGGCTACCTCTTACAGAAAATCTGTTAATGACGATATTAAATTTAATCAAGTGTTGCTTTTTTGTAGCAATATTTATGTCAAACATAAATCCTTTAAGCGCTCACCTCATCCAATTTGTCGTCCAAAGTTCTAACAGATATGATATTGTGTTATAAAATACCTTTTTAATCAATGATGGAAGAGTACATGAAAGTACAGGTACGTCTGTTTCGAAACATCAAATCTGTGTGACTACAGGGATCTATTTTATTTTTATATGTACTATTGATTATAAATTACTTATAAATCTAATTATCATTTAAGCATGAAGCTACGCATTCAAAGACTCGATTACACGTACGCAGATTTCTTCTTTGTTTAGCAAATACTGGTATGTACGAATGTAGATAAAGGCTATGAAAATACCTAAAAATATTCTTCACAGTAAAAAACGAATGTAACATTTTCAATATTTTTCCCAAACTTCCTAAGATGTAATATGTATTTCATTAATAACAAAACTTTTCGTTATAATTAATTTCGGGATTTAAAAATATTATTTCAACTGTGTGCGTAGTACCTATGTAATTTCACTGATACGCACGTGCTTTGTGACTTGCATTAGAAGCTGCGCTAAAAGACGCATAGCTAACATTAACAATTTAAAATCAATAGATATTTGTGTAACAAAATGCAAAAGATGACTAGGATAATATTAAGTTGCGACTAGATATGCGTATTACAATTTTGCGTAATACGCATCGACACGGCCGAGTACTGCCGTCTAAGATTGAATAGCAAAGCAACGATCAATATATTACTGTTTTAACAATTATATATTACTATAAATTAAATTAAAAATACTTTGTAAAATATTCATAAATATCAACTTGTACGCGAATACATACATACGCAAATTGCAACATACACTAGTACGTCACTGCCTGCGAATTAATACAATTAACAAGATCAGAAATATGATTCTGACTTTAACGTATAAATAATATAAACATATTTGAACAATATCGGTTAGAAACTACTTTACGCCTTCTCTCTAAAAAACCATTTGTCTCACAAAATTATATAATTTTTAGTCATTGGCTTAATTTTGATCATGCATTGATTTTAGAAAATCATATAAAATTTAAAATAGAATAATTTTGAAACTGTAAAACAATTAAAATAATAAGCAGACAATAAATATTATACATACACGTATTGTATAAATGCAATAAAGACGGAAACGGTATTTAATACCTAAACGTATTTAACAAATAAGCGTCGTTTTAAGAATTCAATGTGCGGATCATGGATCTTATGTTACAAACAATTCTACACAAAAGGCTATCAACAGTATAAATCGACAGGCAGTGATTCTTGTAATAAGTGATTACCGTTTAAAGCTTCAAAATTAAGCAAAACATTAATGTATATTAGAGAAATGTTAAGTTTCATTTTTTTTTAAGGAGAGTAACGAGGACTGTTTCTGTGCCTTTTTCGAAAGATAAAGGCAAAAATTGATCGAAAGCGCCACCAGCGACTATGCTTACGGACTGGTCCACGTGATCTTTCTTTAGCCCGAATTTGTCTTACTAACGAGTAGAATGCATCGTCTATAAAATGTCTGAGAGCTGCCGATGTTTCATAAAATGGACAACCGAGCTGATCAGCAAGTGCTTTTCCTTCTTCGGTTGTCACCTAAATAATATGCATTCAACTTTTCAGAGCCCACAATCAATAAATGAATGTAATCGATGAATTCTAAGAATTTTTCTCTATCGATGACAACAATAATAATTCATATTTTAAAACAAACAATTTATCATTTGAATCAAATTTTTAACAATTTGAGTATATAATCACTTCTTACCTTTCTTTGATGCTGTAAATCAAATTTATTGCCAACCAGTACCAATGGGATGTCCTCGTGAATGCGAACACGAGATATTAATTTTCTATACTCCAAGACTTCTTGAAAACTATGTCTATCTGTTACAGAATAACAAATCATGAATCCTTCTCCACACCGCATGTATTGGTCACGCATTGCAGTAAACTCAACCTGAAAATATTGTTCAGAGAAAATTATATATTAAATTAAAATGAAATACATGGCAAATGATTAGAACAAAATTTATTTAAAGATTAACCTGTCCAGCAGTATCCAAAATATCTAAAAGTGCAGCCTCCCCATCTATGACAGCTTGCTGCTGATAAGAATCCTCTGTGAAAATAAAAAATTGATCTTATGTGAAGTCCTATCCATAATATATTTGTACACTATATACTTTTACATTATTTTCTCATTGTAATTAATAATGTTCTCACCTATAGTTGGGTCATGATAATCCAAGAAACTATGTGTGACAAATTGCAAAGTAACGGCTGAAACAAATTTGGTCCCATTACATATTGTTACTTACTAAATAAAATATTATTATTTACACAATCGTTACCTGATTTTCCCACTCCTCCATCTCCTAGAACCACTATTTTGTATACTCTAAGACCGCCTCTAGTAGTCGGCTGAGCACCTACAGCCACGTCATTCTTGCCTTCGCAGGCTACATTTTCATTTTGTAGTACACTAACGGACATTATACCAGAAGTCATTCCTACTAAAGCTCTTGAATTTTATGGTGCTTTATCTCCATTATTCTCCGCTGAGAAGTCCTTGAAATATATTAAATACTTGGAATCAACAAAAAAAATTTGACAAGCTGCAGACATAACAACCGTAAACGTGTCAAAATATATTAAAGGATTAAGTCATATTCTAATTTACTATTTTTAGCATACCTTTAGGCAGCAGTGAAAGAGGTAAACAGTATATCCTTTACTGTAAGAGCATTAAAACTAGTAAACGTGAATCCTGATTAGTTTCAGTGTTATCAAGAGGCACGTACCCATTTGCTCATCTTACGAATTCGACATAATAGCCTTCTCGATATCGCTGAAGGAAAAAATCTTTATCGCGTTTCATCATGCTGTCAAATGTGACATGCACAAAAAGGTTGTTGCGAAATAATTTGAGTAAGGACCTAATGACACTTTGGCTGTCCTACTCATAAATCCTAGAGTCCTATTCTGGTACATGAACGTGAGTTACAAAAATATGCAGTAAATGATTTTTAAATATCTGTTTGTAGAACGTAGTGGCCACATGTTCGATATATTCAAAATTACTATTGCATTAGGAATGTTTAAATAACGAAGATTAGACATACATCTGTCAGTTCTTACTACAGAGCATTTCGTATTGTAAATTGCTTGCATAGAATAGAACTGCATAGAAAGATGTTTCTCTGCCAAATCAGAGATGAGTTGAGAGATTCACGGGAAGGATCGAGCGACCGCGTCCTGTGCGACCTCCAGTGGAGGATGCAGACGGCTAATGCACTTGCCACCTGTTACAACCAGAGATGTAATAAATATATTAGATTTTTATCACGCCAAGTAATGTATAATTGAATATATTTTTACTGGGTCAATTATACGAGATCGATGCACTGCGAAATATTCTTAACTTTAATGGTAACTTTAGTAAATTATTAGCTCTTGTATCACCGTGTCTTTCTCGCTTTCCAACGGTTTCGTTTATGCCTTCGTGTTCCCTTTCAGCTTTAGGTGGGCCACTTCGGAGAATCTGGCGACTTGTGGCTACGATTTTTTTCGAAGGAGACACAGGGTTTTGGAGTTTTTGTGAGGAGTTCATCGCTTTTTCAGCCGGTTCTCGGGCTGCCCAGAGTTGTAACAGGTGGCAAGTGCATTAGCCGTCTGCATCCTCCACCGGAGGTCGCACAGGACGCGGTCGTTCGATCCTTCCCGTAATCTCTCAACTCATCTCTGGTGCCTCATCTTCTCCCTGGTAAACCAGAGCCCCGACGGATCGGTCGCCGCCCACGTGACATATCGACCAATCGCGAGGCGGCCCGACCCCCAGCCCCGCGCGGCGTTGCCGAGTCGGTACGAGGTCGGTTCTCGCGGGAGCGCAAAGATGGCGCGGCAGTCGCGCGCGGAGAGCCGAGGGCGGCAGGCGGGTTAACTGTCGGCTTGGTCGATAGGGAGCACGAGTGAGGCGAGTTCTCGCCATGCGCCAGCGAGTTCTCCTCCAGTTTCCCTTAAACCGCTCGTGCGTTCGTTCGGTTGGCGCGTCAGACGTCCGTCGATTGTTTTCCCCTGACATCGTCCGGCGTTCCCTGGGTACGAGACCCGTCGCGCGGTGCTCCCAGACTCTCGGATCCGATCCGCGGCTCATCGAGGATGGCTTTCAACGGGGACGGCCCGCACTCGAAGAGGCAACGGCTGGAGGAGTCCGGACATAGGGTGAGGATGCACCACCAGAATTCGCGAGTCGATGCCGCGCGCCCGGCCGAGCTCGGCCGCGCTCGCGAGCCCCGCGGTCGCCATTGCGTCCTCGCGGCGGTCGCCGCGACGTCCTCGGCCCTAGGCGACCGCGAATCTCGCCGGCTGCGCGTCGCGCGGCCTAGTGTCGGTAACGCAGGGCGCGATCGGAGCGCGCCCAACGTCGCGGCTACTCGCGCCTTCCGAGGCAACCTGTTATCTCGCGAAGCGCCGGCTACAGGTACCCCGAGATCGCCGGGGAGGGGGGGCCATATTGATTATTTCGCGAAGCCGGCCGGTCGAACGCGAGCTCGCGGCCACTCGCCACGAGGTCGCGGGATCGCGAGAGAGATCGGACCGATATCCCACCCCCGGTCCTTATCTAGCGGACTCGCCGCCAGTCTTCGCATGGCGCCGTTTCTTTAGCGGTCGAATCGTCGATCGTCCTATCAAACGTATCCACGATTCGTCGTAACCATGGTTGGCAAAACCGGACTCGAGTCGGATGTCGGGTAAGGAGGATGCGTATGTTAATCCGGGCTTTGCCCGTGATTGTTTTTTTATCCAAGTCTGATATGAACGCGAGTAACCGTGTCCACGACAGGAGGAACATTTACTCGCGTTCGGAGGGGAGGATGTTTTCTCCGACCTAGAATTTATGTATAACGAGACGTTTACGTGGTCGGCGATGGGACGTGCACTTTGCCGCGGTGCAAGACGCTGCAATTTCATATCTTCCGTGCGTCCGGAGTTCCGAAGTATGGATCTCGAGGCTTAAAACCCGACGGAGTCGAATGACGTCGAGACGACTCGATCCTCGAGGGGTGCATCTCGCGGCGGCGGATGCGCGATTCATTTTACGCCCAAATTACTCGAGTAATCGCGATATGAGCTGCAAAGCAATATCGGGCCCTCGTATCCCCGTAGAGCGTTCGCCCGTTCCCTCGATGAGCTCCCGGGACGCCTCTTGTGCCGGCGATTAAACCTCCGTTCCTTCCGGCACGGAATGCGCGCCATATCATCCGCTTCTTCGGACGCGGTACTCGAAGTTGCCCAAGCGACCGATCGGAAATACCGCCGGAAATCGCCGTAATCGAGTGAGAGAAATTAACGGCATCGATTTCAATGACCACCCGGAGCGAAAAAATTCAAACCCTTGATAATCGCCACCTAAAAGGAATCATTGAAAAATTAATACCGTCGATATTAATAAATATCCGTCACTGGCACTTGATACTCCGAATTGAAAACGATCACGAATCACCATTAAATCCTTGGATGTGCACGGATCTACGAGTTGCACTCTAAATGCATGTCCTTTACTTGCATCGCGCAAGGAGGCATCGGTTGGTCGTGACTTATTGGAGTAAAAAGGGAAGTGAGGTGTAACGAGCGCGTTTATGTATCGTGTCGTCGGGTTACTTCGGGTATCGAGGACGTATTTATGGGTACGAACGCCTTCCTAGAGGTTGTGGAGACGCATTACGCAAAAGTACTGCGAGTTTCCGTGGGTATGCGTTAACGGGCATCGGTGCACGTGGTGGTGTTCCGTCGTCCAGGTTGTGGGGCTCGCTTGATGGTTTGGGACTGGGTAGAGACTGGTCCCGGACCGTCTCCACGTGGCACCGCTTATGTAGACTCGCTCGACACTCCTAGACCGATATCTCGTATAAGCCACCCGTTAATGTCCCGCCTAGGAGTGCACATGACATTAATGGACGCCCCTCTGTCGCGAGCATCGATCGAGCCGAATGACGATAAGCGACTCATGGGGTGCGGTATATAACGATACGTCTGTGCTTCTATTCTTTTTTTTTTTTATTAATTTTTTTACCGCCACACTTGCCGAATCCATGTAACCAGGGCGCCGACCGGTGATACAGTGCAGCTAATAAACCCGACGACGTCGTTCGGAGACTTTGAGACAGACGGATAAAAAATTAAAAAAAAAAAAGGGTAGGAAACGTTTCGTCCCTTCAGGAAATTTCGAGGAGACGTCGCAGTTCCCTTTGCGAACTCTGATTAATAATGACCAGGTTCTTGGGGCATCGTTATTTATGCAGAACATGCTCCTTTATAGGGAATCAGAGGGATTATGACGTACCTCGAGGGATTCGTCATGAAGATAAGAGGACGTTATCAACGTCGGTACGCCCTGCGTGTAGGATAGTAGCCGAGACTAGGACACTCTGCCATCGATTAGTGGACCCGAGATAAGCTGCACTCAAGGCGCGATGCGATTTCCCCGTTCAGGGACCTTTCGTTTTTCCGGCTTATCCTGGAGTTCCGAGCTCCGACGTCCTCGAGGAGAGGTCGGTAAATCCGAGGGTCGACCTAGCTCGGCGATTGTTGCCCGCGTTTATCGTCCCTCGTTTTATCGGGCACGTCGACCGGTTCGCCAGGGTGAGCGATACCGGTTGACGACTTATTTTCCGGACTGGCTGAGGGAGGAGTGGGAAAAATCGGAAAATCGAGGCCATGGGTGTCGTTTTAACGCGCGCGTTCGCGTTATCGCGGCCTTCCGGTAGGCCGGATTATTTATAAGTGTCGGAACAACGAGAGGGCTCAAATTATTCGGACGTGCCGTCGCTCGTCAAATTATCGGCGGGGCCACGCTTGTTGTGGAAATTGGCGCGGAATGCCATTTAATGCGAGTCGAGCGCGAAACGCTTTGGTTCGCGGGCAGCGTTGTGCACCAACAGGTACTCGATAATTTGCCCCGATCGCAAGACGAATCGCTCGCTCTCCTCCTGGCGGACGTGACGGGACAATGGCCCCTCGGTTTTGCCGGCTCACTCGAGGCAGAAAAACAAGATTGCTCGGCGTAGCGCCCTATCATTACGGTAATTCGACCGTGATGTTTGGACGGTCCGCGCAGTCGACGGCGACGCGTAGCGTCGCCTCCCGGCGCGCGTCGTCCCGGAAGGGGGAACAGGAAATCGCGGATGCGTCCCCGCCGGAGGGAGCTTGTTAATTTTCAACAATATTCGGGGGGAGAAAGGGGCACTCGTCACTTCGTTCGGGGCGACGAATTAGCGGGCGGTGTTTGGAAACGCACGGCCTCGGATGTTTTTTTTTTTTTTATCAACCGGCTTGTCAATTTAAAATCACTGTATATTATGCACGTCCACGTATCATAAATTCGACATTACGGGACTGGATGGAGCTTTCCGTGCGTTTAGAGGATTTATTGATTTTTTTTTTTAATTGTTTTTAATCGATGTCCATTGATCGGGTAGGGTGAGAGGTTTGGGGGTTGATTAGGGGTTATTTTGATATTCGTTTCCGTCGTGGGGTTTGTCCCGGTGCGTCGATCCGTTGTCTCCGAGAGGACAGGTGAGGAGGGGCGGACTTTTAGCCGCCCTTAAATAGGCTCTTTTAAATAGACCGGGTTTTTAAATAGCCCCTCGGTGCCGCGTGACGGACGGATTCATTGTCGTTCGTTGCTCGGCGCCTTGGGGGCCAACCGCGGGTTCTGCATTCCGCGTGAGTCGATCCGCATCGAGATCGTCGCAAACAATGCGCGAACGATCTTCGACCCCCCGCAAGACCGCAGGACGTAAAATGGTAAACCCGGCGATCGCGGCTCCTTTCGTCGTCACCTCTCATCGGCAACCTCAGGCTCGATCTTCAATTACCGATTCTGACTTTAACGAGTCGTCTACTTGGAGGAAAAGAAAAAAGAAGAAGAAAAAAAAAAAAGAAAAGTGGAGGGCGGAAGCCAAAAGTCACATCTAACGAGCGACCCCTTCCTTCCCTGTCACGGAGGCGCGCCCTCGGTCCTTTGGATTCTTCATATATATTTTTTTTCTCTTTCTTCCTCTTTCCTCGGGGCCGAAATAAAAACGAAACGATTACTCGAGCGGAGCCCGGATCCCGTCATTGGCCGGGGTCGCTGTAAATGAACTTTTCCGAGATAATGGCCGTCGAGGCAAGGTCATTGTCACGAGGGGCCCCTCCGGTGTCTCTCGCATGACTCGAGCCTCTCCACCGGGTTCGACGTGGAGGCTTACGCACGCTTCGTCCTTTCCCCTCGTCTCCATCGGTCTCCGTCTCTTTCTCTCTCTCTCCTTCCGTATCTACCTCGGCCGCAAATCCGACGCGAGTTTCCCCTCTACCGCCACGCAGTCTGCTCCCTTTCTCCGACTATCCGGGTATTCGCCTCTCTCTCTGTCCCCCTGCGCGCCGCCTCGCTCCGTCTCGCTCGCACCCGCGGACGCTGGGAGAGCCGCGCGGCGCGTCGCGATAGTGTTGTCACGGAGATCCGGCGAACTATTGATTTGACAACAGTCTAGCCGGCGTTAAATCACCGAGAGGATTCCCCCGGCGGGTATTCCGAAGAATGCGCCCCGCGTAATTTACGCGACACGGGAAATGATATTGGCACGCGATACCGCACGGATACGCGCGTTACGCCCGCCCGTAAGGGGGTGCTTTAAGGCCCTCCCCCGGGGGGAGGGTGGGCAGTCGGCCGGTGTTTGCCTTTGCCCTGAATTATTGTTTGTTAAGTCCGTTCCAACGCGACGCGGAAAGAGGAGTTCCCCTGGTCCGGCTTCCGGTCTCACTCCGGAATTGCGAACCTCCACCTTTTCCCCCCTAGGTAGGATTCCGAAGGGAAATTATGCTCCAAGGATCGAAGTATCTACAACTGAATTAACGACTCCTACTTGGACTCCTCACGTTTTATTATTCATTTAAGGGGACGTGAAAGTGGCATCCGAAGAGCCAATCGTTCGTGAAACTTTTCACCGAACTGGTCGTGCCGAATCGTGTCACACTTTACAACGTGAATACGTAAGCTATGAGAAACGTCCTGACCCTCGTGAAATTTCTTTTTTTTTTTTATAACGAATTTTAAAAATATCTATGAAAAATTTCATGAGTTTTAGGACCTTCCTCATACCCTCCATATTTAGATCACCCAGTTTAAAGAAAAGTTTCATAAGCGAGAGCTTTCACGTCCCCTTAAGGAGGCCTGGTGC